TATTCTAACATATAGGGATATTTTTGGATTAAATGATATAGTTCTTAAAAACATTATCGTTTTTATTATATAGCTTAAATATCGTTTTTAATTGTAAATTTCAGATTATTGTTTTGATAAAATTTCTATATTTGTCTATCGTTTTCGTTATATAGCTTAGATACTGTTTTAAATCTATTTCAATCTTGGCATCTTTTATTAAAGTTAATAATATATAAAGGTTAAATAATAAAGAGTATACAGCCACGACTAAAGATAAATACGTTATATATAATATTATATTATTTAAAACAAATTCACAACAATAAGTAGACGTTTCGGTCAAGATTTGGCCATCTTCAGTACAATAAAAATGAATACGTTAAACATTATAACTAAATACGCAAGTCAACTGATAAATGTATGATAGCAAGTAACAAAAAAATATTATTTCCTTACAATACAGTAGTAATCGCAACAGATCAAAGTAAATTAAAGTAACAGTTAATTGTTATCGCGCTATACGAATAGAAAGAAAACACGAAAGTTTTTTTCATGTCATGATACAATTAAGAAATCTTCATTTAAAAACGACGAGCCCCACACGAAAAGACACGCAAGTACCCAGGTCTATTGTAAAAACAAAAAAATTTTTCACAAATAAATTAGATATCATCGTATTACTGTAAAAATAATCAAATTAAGAAATATACTCCTGTGCTTAGATTCCACCCAGAGAATTTTTTTTTAATTTTTAAAAAACAACAGAACAAACTTACGCGCATATCTTGGGGTGTGAAGACTCATCGGTACAACTGAACACTGTGACAAATTTAGGTAATGAGTGAATTTAAACTGCAAAAAACGATAAAAGCGCTGGTCTATTTATATTAAGAAAAGGAAAAAGAAGGGTAAGAAAAAGGGAAAGGAAGGGGAAAAGTTTAGAGTGGGGCCAGAAATTGTTCAAGGAGAGGGAGATAAAGATCTGGAAACCATTCCGTATCGCTTTGTTTATTTAAACCATTTTTTTGCATCTTAATATAAATCATCTCAGATACTAATCTTTTGTGATGAGAGCGTTCCGAATCCAATATTTTTGCGTTATCCCAATCCATCACATGGTCTGTGTCAAATCTGTGATTTGAGATAACAGAGTAAGAATTAGTTGGTTTTTTTAAGTCATTAATGTGTTCTTTTAAACGCGTCTTTAGTTTCCTTTTCGTCTGACCGACGTACGAATAATCGCAGTCCTTACAATTAATTTGGTATACCACATTCGAAAGTTCATCTTTTTTTATCTTATCTTTGCCCGTTTTTATAAAACTGTTCAAGTTGTTCATAGGTTTGTATACAAATTCAAATTGAAATTTATCTAGAGTTGCATTGAATTTCTCAGACGTTCTCTTTAAGTAAGGAATAGTGAAAAATTTTTTCTTTACAATATAGAGATGTCCGTATTGGTATTATGTTCATTTATGGTATCAAAATTCTTTTTTCTTGATAACGTTTTTATTTTATTGTTTATCATTTTAAATAAAAATTGTAACGGATATCCGTTGCGAAGGAGAGTGATAATTAGAGAATTGAGGTTAATGTGATAGAATTTTGGATGAGAAAGAAATAGAATTTTGTCCAATAACCCAATCACAACACTCTTCTTGTGTATCGTAGGGTGATTGGAGACGAAATTGAGAAATCTCCCAGAATTAGTAGGTACTTTTTGTACAAGTCGAAAATAATTTTACCATTATCGCTCAACAGTTTGACATCTAAAAAGTTGATACCTCTGTCATCGCCATAACCCACAGTAAATTTAATGCGCTCGTGGTACGAATTGAAGAAATCTAAAATGTTGGTAATAAGATTAATAGGAGCCGCAAGCACGATATCATCAACATAACGAAAATAAAAAGATATGTGCGTGGTGAGAGTATTAAAAATATTATTCTCCAAGTCTTGAATTACTAAGTCAGCCAAAATTGGCGAAAGAGGCGATCCCATGGGCAAACCAAAAATCTGTTCGTAAAATTCGTCATTAAACTTGAAAAAGGTGGAATTCAAAATAATAGAGATGGCTCTTTTAAACTCTTGAAAAGGGATAGAAGTATTCTTCTCCATTAAGTCCCATCTGCTTAAAACATTCCTTAATGCCAAATCGTTCGGAATGTTGGAGTACATAAACGAAATGTCAAACGAAACCATTCGATAATCATCCCGCAAAGGTAGCCCATTAATTTTCTTAACCAACTTAAAGCTGTTTTTAATGTAACCGAACTTTTTCTTGTTATTAAGACTTTTGTCAATGATTTCTTTCAAGAAAACAGCTAAATTATAAAGAGGACTGTTGATGCAGCTGACAATCATTCTTAGCGGGATGCCCTCCTTATGTATTTTAGGCAGCCCATAGGATCTCGGTAGATCCCCATCCGAAATATACAATTTTTTATATACATATTGATTAATAAAGCCTTTCGATTATAGTTTGTCGAATATAGTTTGAGTATATTTCTTAATTTGATTGTTTTTACAGTAATACGATGATATCTAATTTATTTGTGAAAAATTTTTTTGTTTTTACAATAGAACTGGGTACTTGCGTGTCTCTTCGTGTGAGGCTCGTCGTTTTTAAATGAAGATTTCTTAATTGTATCATGACATGAAAAAAACTTTCGTGTTTTCTTTCTATTCGTATAGCGCGATAACAATTAACTGTTACTTTAATTTACTTTGATCTGTTGCGATTACTACTGTATTGTAAGGAAATAATAATTGTTTGTTACTTGCTATCACTACATTTATCAGATGACTTGCGTATTTAGTTATAATGTTTAACGTATTCATTTTGATTGTACTGAAGATGACCAAATCTTGATCGAAACGTCTACTTATTGTTGTGAATTTGTTTTAAATAATATATAACTTATTTACATCCTTAGTTGTGGCTGTATGCTCTTTATTATTTAACCTTTGTACAATAAATTTCTAAGCCACTTTCTAACAATTTAAATTTTAATAATATAGTATCGTGTTTTTAAATCGTAAATTTCAGATTACTCGTCTAAAATACGCGACGTATATTTCCTTAATTTCCGTATCGTTTTTATTTCGTACAACTTAAATGTCGATTTTAATCAATTATTTTAGTCGTGTTTTATCAAAATTAGTAATATTCTATCATATCTTTAATCGTAAATTTTAATTAAGATTAAATTTTACATTCTACAATTTACAAACTGAAAATACAAAAGAATATTATTAATTTTGAAAGAAATAGATTGAAAACGATATCTGAGCTGACAAAAATAATACAGAAGAATAATATAGAAAATCTATCAAATATTTTAGATAAATAATCTGAAATTTATGATTCAAAAACATGACAAGATATTTAAAGATTATGCGTGCCGTAGGTTTTCTCCGTGTCCATATCCATTCTTGAAATGCCAACGTTTCATGAAACCTTGCAATCCATTTCATGGCGAGGAGCAGTTTGATACTGAGTTCCCAGTGATGGGAGATGACAAGAATTCGTCTGCTCTAGGAAACTTTGTGCGTAAAATGACGTAGCAGCTCGAATGATGGAACATACGGAGGGAGAATACGGAATACGGGTGCTTTTGGGGCTTCTGTACATTTTAATGACCAATCGTCCCAAATTAGGAGGGACTATCTCAAGTTTTAACACCTTACAAACCGTTCCAAATTTTTTCCTAAATTAAAGTTATACATAGTAATAAATTATTCCTCTTATAACCTCTTAGGTACTGTACGTCATTATAATGGCTTTCTCGAATGCTGTCTCTCCGAACGATTATATTGTTTTTCTAAAACTCTTTACATAAAATTATAATTTATTCATCTGTAGCTATTTTATTGTAATTTCATAGGGTAAATCATCGCTAGATACAAATCTCATAATCAGTGCTACATTATTTACGTGCAGTGCATGACAAACATTGCCGTAATTTTATATAATTTTATCTAATTACATATAAAACATTTTTTCCTGGAAAATGAAAATAATAACTGTAAAATATAACTTTCAACTAACGTGTGAAGAACTTTATGATTTTTTATTTAAAAATCGAGATGTCATTCATATATCCTGGTAAAAAATTGTTCATTCCTTAATATGTATAAATATGTATAAACATACATATATTCATAAACACGTATAATCATATATGAAATATGTCCATATATCTTTTTTTCTTTTGTAAAATTATTTTTTAATATAATAGAAATAACAATAGTAAAAACATAAAAAATAATCAAAGGGATAATTTTCGCATTGTTTGTTTAAGAAAAAAACAAGTTAGGAAAAATGTCTAAAAAATTGCTCGCTACACAAATATGAGCATAATTTTATATATAATTTATATATATAAGTAATTTTTTTAGATTTCTTCAAACTTGATTTTTTTTATAATAAAATGTGAAAATTATTCTTTTAATTATTTTTCATGTTTTCACATTATTATTAATATTGCTATTACACTGAAAAATAATTTTACCAAAGAAAAAAGAATGAACATATATGAACATATTTCATATAAAATTATGTATGTTTATGAATATTTATGTATATTTGTACATATTTATACATATTCATGCATGAAAAATTTTTTATCGAGACATTCAGTAGAAAAATATAATTTAAAAAAATAGAATGTGATCTCGTAATTTGATGTCATTTTTGTCGTGATCTTATATCATGTTAATGATTAAGTATTATTTACAAATGTTATAATAATAATATTGTTCATGTATTTTAATAACAATTTAAAAAAAAATGTTTATTAAAATTTAATTATAACAATTAATATTGAATTTTTTAAAATGCTTTTTTTCCTTTTTAAGAAGTTCATTATTTTATACTGTACATACGCAAAAAATCCTGCCGCCCATCCATCTATTTAGGCTGTGTTCCAAAATTTACTGCCAGTATTGAAAATATATAGTTCACGTTACGTGCACTATAATTTTCAGTACTGGTAGTAAATTTGGAAACAGTCTTTTCGGTTTTCTCGCGTTTCACTTCGCGCGTGTAGTTAGATTAGGTTAGGTAAGTGTTGTTGAACTACAATTATTTAATATTTAATATTGTTAAGGATTAATAAAATTGTTGTAATATAAGGATCATCAAAATCACAAAGGATTACAATAGATCATCAGCTTTCAACATCAGGTAAAAAAAAAAGAGAACATACAAGAAAAGGTTTTTTCAAAAGGCTTGGCTAAGGTTAGATATTTTTAAAGATTGGTTGATGTCATATGAGGATGATACAAAAGCTATCTGCTCGGTTTGTAAGAAAGTTTTATCATGCGGCAAAACAGATTTAATTAGACATCAAAAAACTCAAATGCATGCTAATAATATAGCTAAGAATCGTAATATAAATCCATTTGCTTCATTAACTGCATCTAATGACACATTTGAGGATCATGCTAAAAGCGTTAAAATCACTGAAATAAAATTAGCTGCTTTTTATGCGACACATAATATTGTTTTAGAAATAATTGATGACATGGTCCCTATGCTCAAAGACACTTTTATTGACTCACAGATAGCAAAAGACTTGACATTGTTACAGAAAAAGTGTTCGCAAATAATTAATAATATATTAGGAAAACGTGAAACTGAAAGAATAATAAATAATTTATTAAATACAAAATTTTCTATTTTATTAGACGAAAACACAAGCATCGTAAATGATAAGATGCTTTGCGTTTTAGTTAAATATTTTTCAGTGCAATATAACAAAGTTGTTACAAAATTATTAGAATTAATTTCTTTAGATGCTAGAGATTGTTCCGCAGAAAAACTATACTCTGCGTTTGAACATTGTTTAAAAAGTAAACAAATACCGATTTCAAGTATTGTTGAGGAATGGCTTCTGATAATGTCTCAGTTATGGTAGGAAATCATATTATAATTCTTTCGTGACTAGATTAAAGAAAGAGGTACCGGCCCTGATTGTCTTAAGATGTATTTGCCATTCCTCAGCTCTTATTACAAGTAAAGCTTATGCAAAATTACCGGATTCTTGTGAAAATATTTTACATGCAGTTGCTACATATTTTTCTGGCAGTGCTAAAAGATCAGCTATTCTGTCTGATTTTCAAGAATTTTTTGGAGTAAAGTCACGTAAAATTTTAAAACTATCAGGTACAAGACGGCTCGTCTTACAGAAGTATGTTGAAAGGTTTCTCGAAAATTAGGAAGTTTTGGAACATTACTTCAACCTGGATCTTATCTTAAAAAATAAAAATAATTCAGCAGTTTCCATTTTTAATATTTTAAACGATAAAGTCATTAAAGCGTATATGTTATTTTTAAAATATTCTTTAATCGTTTTTAACAAATTTAACGCTTTCTATTAATCGAGAAAAATTTTAATTCACGAAATTTCTGAAAATAGTGTGCGGTTAATAAAGCAGATTGGAAAGAATTTTTTATTACCTGCCGCTTTACAAAATATTTCCAATGATCTTTTAAACCCAAAAAATTTTTTACCAATAAGTTCTATTTTTGTAGGCCCAGAATGCGAATTGTATCTTGAAATTAAATGTCCCGAATTTATTATAGAAGTAAAATCGAAATGTTTAAATTTTTATACAACTGCGTTAGAAGAAATGTTACAACGATTACCATATAATGATGAAATTTTTCGCGTACTTAATTTCTTAGATCCTAAAATAGCTTTACACGATGAAAGTAGATTGATTTTTCTCGATTTAAAAAATATAGCAAAACGTATTTGGTGTATCGTTTGGGCGTATCTGACTTTACGACCTTAGCTTATGAATGGAGAAGTTTGCCAACAGAATTTAACGACACGGAAAAAAACATTTTTGGCTAATTTAGAAATTGGTGAAATGTCGAAGAATATTTTGGAGAAAAAAGATTTTAATGATGAATCATCTTTTCCAAATTTAAAAGAATTAGTATATGCCGCTTTATCACTTCCACATTCTAATACCGAAGCAGAAAGAATATTTTCTATTGTCAGTGACGTCAAGAATAAAAAGAGAAATCGTATTAGTATCACTTGTTCAGATTCAATTTGTAAATTACGATTAAATTTTCAGGCCCATAATTTAAATTATCACAATTTCCAAGTTGATTCTAAACACTTGGAACTGCACAATATCTTTATTGTCAAAATAACGGCAAATATATATATATATAAATATATATATAAGGTGTAGTAAAAAGAAATCTATTATTTTTGCATTAAATTGAAGGCTTTATTTAGCATAGTTAGAATGATCCGATTTAGGTCAAATATGCACCATTTTGTTCGATAACTTGTTGCCATTTTGAAGGTAATTTCATTATGCCTCTCTCATAGAAACCCTCGTCCCTATTGGCAAAAAACTGGGACAGTCGATTTTCACAAGCTTCTCTTGAGG